TTTTTTTACATATCTTTTGTACATATCAGCAATTTTTTACATATCTTTCACATTCATAAAGAGTCTTAATGCCATTGCATGTCACATGCAGTGGTGTATAACAGTGTATTATGCATGCATGTGTGATTGAGTGGTTTATTACAGAATTATAGGAAAGGTGATAATATTTTTGCACTTTTCTGCTTCATCAGATTCTACTAATAAATGGCACCATCTGGTGGGTCTCTAGAGCAAAACACCCATCAACTCTATTACATTCAGTAAAAAAAAACAAAAAAACAACAAAGTTCACAAAAAATTAACTTATTTAATATATTGCTTGCATCATTTTTTTTACAGCCATTCATTCTCAAGTGAGCAGTGCATATAATTTATTGTTATTTTTATTATATTATTCATAGCATAAATAATCATACTGTTGTTTTTTATTGTTGTTAGTTATTATTGTGCAAAAACCAGATATAAAACAATAAATAATAATCAGTTCTGCTCATTGGTTCTATGATAATTAATAAAAATCATTTGTATATCATAAAATAGATAGATAGATACATAGATGACAGATAGATAACTTAAAATACACTATATAGTTAGGATAAGTTTGCATTATAAAGGCAGTAAGCTCTTACCACAGATGTTTTGAGATTGTCATTGAGATTGTGTGTTTTTCCCATGAGCTGCACTCACTAATGGCCCTCGTGTCTGAGGACGTTCACTAAAGTGCAGTGATTTGTTCATGATTGATGAGCGTCTGGCACCAGACTGAGACTGTGAGAGCTGTGCTTCAGTAAATGGTGATAAATAGCAGGTTGATTTTATATAGGCTTTTAAAGCTGTGGAGATCACATGATCTCAATATGGCGATCTAGAATAAAACGTAGCTTTTTTAGAAGACCGATAGAGTCATCATCTCATGCATGCATCATTTTAAACAGATGTGGTAAATGTACAATTCATTTCTTAAGAATGAAGCTACATGTGGATGCATGCCGGTGTCAAAGTGTTCAGTGTCGACTGTCGAGGAAAACATTTCCTATTTCGTAACGCCTCACGTCACAGGAGCCGCGGTGTCAGTTGAATCTATTTTTAGAGCATGTGTCTGGGGATCGGAGGGAGGGGGACGCGCTCGTAAAGACGCTGCATCAGTATCCCATCACCTGGGATCAGGGGCAGAGGTTGCCATAGTGACCGCCTCTGACTGATCTCACACAACTGGTGATGCTCATCGACGCCGCAGGCTCTGTCATTGTGTTATGCAGGTAGACAGTGTGCTGTGGTTGATGGTGTGTGTTTGATTGTGATCTCTGACCCCAGATCATGTCTGAGAAAGGACAGAAGCAGAAAGGAAGCAGTGAGAGCTGCCACCACTGCAAGCCAAAGACATGCGGTGAGTGACGGACAGAGAGAAGACTGACCAACAACAACCTCACACACACAGACAGACAGACAGACAGACAGATAGATAGATAAGATAGACAGACAGATCAATAGACAGACAGTTTGACCGATAGATAGATAGATAGATAGATAGATAGACAGACCGATCAATAGATAGATAGATAGATAGGCAGATTAAACATGGTAATTTTCACGTTACATATGGACCCCAGAACCACATCCTCACAAGAATTACATCTGTAATGCATAACGAAACATTCAATCCTTTAATTTCAGGATAATTATGTAATTTTTCAGCTCAAATAAAACACAAAAAAATGAACATAACACAAGCTGTGCAGTTTGGCTTTAAACCCTCTGGTACACGAGCACCATGCACTTCAGTCCTTATGCATCACTATAAATCTGATTGTCTGTGGTAATGAACAATATACTGTAGAACTAGTACTGAACCCAGAACTTTCCTTTAAAGAGCCCTGTGTGTGTGTGTGTGTGTGATAGCAACAGACTCTGCTGTAGCTGATAGTTGTTACGCTGCAGTGTGAGTGTGTGTAATAATGAGCTGTTATCATGCTTCTGGCTGCAGCGCTGCAGATGATCAGAGCAAACGCTGCACAGCTCCTGTAGCTTGCTGCCTTTAGCTGTCAGCTGTTCTTCCAGCCGTCTGTAGGACACTGGTCTGTCAGGAGGCGTGCGCCGCTGGTATTTGTAGACTGTTGTAAACATGTTGCGCAACTTTACGTGCACAATGTCACACGACCGATGAGCTTCAAGCGACTCTGCGTCTCTAAAGTGTCTCCTTGTCTCTTTTTTGTCCAGCAAACATGGCCGCCCCCCCTGCGTACGCTGACCTCGGCAAATCTGCCAAAGATATCTTCAGCAAAGGATATGGTGAGTGACTTTACAGAGACACATAACTGTTAAATGTGTCACAAACATGAACTGTTCAGTGTCATTTCAGTCAGATTTCTGTATATGGATTTCTGTAACGTGATACTGACACAAGAGAATCAATACTGACCTTCTGATAGATGGATTATGGGTTCAGGTCAAAGGTTAAATGACAGGAAAGAGTTCTAGAAGAAAAAGGCCTTAGTTTTCCTTCCCAGAGCCTCATGGGAGTCATAACCCTCGCTGGAAGCATGGACATTCACACACATTCAGATAATCTGGGAGTGATTAAGACAGTCTTGATACTGCAGTTTGTAGAATTATTTAAGGGGGTCTGAATACTTTCCGTACCCACTGTATATGCATTTGAGCTTATAGATCTGACTGTATGTGCTGCTTAAAGTTAATGCATTGTTCAAAATTAGTCATTATATGACAGGTCCCATCCTGGTGTGATGCATCTGTAGGGTTATTATAGTCATCTAAAATAATAAAATAAAAATAAAACAACTTTAACTTAAATAAAACAAAAATTATTTTATTTATTAATATTACTAATTTTATTTCAGCTAGTTGCCAAGGCAACATTTCTCAATTTAATTGACTTACTAAAGTAACTAAAATTAAAAATGAAAAATTAATAAAAACTATATAGACATATTAAAAAACTAATAAAAATGACAAAACACACTTTATCAAATTAAAAATGAATAACTAAAATTAAAACAAAAGAATATAAAATATATATAATATATAAAATATATAATAAGCTATAAAACTATAATAGTGTTAAATTAATATTAAAATAACGGCTCCACACAGCTGTATATTATATATATATATTAGATATTATATCATGAAATATATCATTATTATTATCATTACATAAACATATTAATTATATTTTATATGTATTATTATATATATTTTAAGTCAAGACAGAAAAGACAAACAAAAACCTTTCCTTGTTTTTTGGAAAGGAACTAATGTTAGCTGTGCTTATCCAATATAAATCCATATATATTTGACTAATATTATAATTCATGATACTGACCATGCCACGTATTTGCATCTATCAATGTGGCAGTTTCATATAGAAAACACTAAAGCGCTTTTGTACATTGCTCTTGATCGCAGTGTCTGATTTTAAAATGATTCAAAACAAAATGAATGTTATCGTGTTAATTCAACATTTATGACAATATTTTTCTCTGTTTTCTCAGGCTTTGGAGCTGTTAAGTTGGACCTGAAGACCAAGTCTCAGAGTGGAGTTGTGAGTTGCTCTTTTGCTCTCTGTTTCTTCACTGAGTGCCAACAAGTACCATGGTACTAATCAGCCAGTACCATGGTAATGTCAAAGTATCATGGCATTACCATCTGATATCTGCACTGTGTACTTGTATGTAAGAGCTGTTTTCCTCATCACTCTTGCTCTTTTTTTTAAAATATAATTCATGTTTAATTGTGAACATCATCTTCCAGATGTTCAGTATGTAGATTCATTAAGCTGTGTGTGTGTGTGTGTCTGTCTGTGTGTGTGTGTGTGTGTACTGGTTTATATATTCTGGTGGGTACTTAAACCTGAATACACACAGACTCATGGGGACTCGTGTCACGGTGGGGACCTAAATTGTGGTCCCCACGGGTACAAAAGCTTATAAATCATACAGAATGAAGTTTTTTGAAAATCTAAAAATGCAGAAAGTTTCCTGTGAGGGGTAGGTTTAGGGGTAGGGTTGGTGTAGGACAATAGAATATACGGTCTATACAGTAGAAAAACCATTACCCAATCTGAGTGTGTGTGTGTGTGTGTGTGTGTGTGTGTGTGTGTCTGTCTGTGTCTGTCTCTGTGTGTGTGTGTGTGTGTGTGTTTGTGGCTGATTCATGTTCTCCACCGCTGCTCTCGTCTGTATCTGGGTCAGAACGGTCCTGTTCCAGACAGTGTTATGTTAGTATTATTAATATACAATTGTAGTTTTTATTAATACTTAGATTTTTTTTTAATGTATTAATTTTTATAATTTCCATTTTAATTGTAAAGTTTTAGTAATTTTGTTGCATGGTTTTGTCATTTTTATTCATTTTTATTTTGATTTATTTAAATTTTGATTTATTTTAATACTTAGTTAAACTAAGTGCAAAATGAGAAATTTTTATTTCAGATAACTTTTATTAATTTCAAGTATATAATTTTTTTTAAGGTTTTGGTTTTAGTTAATGATAGTACCCCAGTTTGGAATTCCACATGAATCTGAATGTTTGCATTGTGTATCTCTTTTCTAACCTGTCTCTTTCTGTCTTTCTTGCTTTCTTTATTGGACGTCGATGTCAGATGGTAAGACTGGGATGTTTTACATGAGGATGTGAATTTGTTTAGTCTTTTGGCAGCTCAACCTCCCTGGCTAAATCTGTTTTTGCACCAACATTGAGGTTTCATGTCTGTCGTTGCTGCGTGAGAATGATGTTCCCATAATTCAGTTTAAACCCAAATAAACAGTGGCCTCAATATAGCTATCTGGTATACAGTTTATGTTCTGGTTTCAATTATGTTTTTTGTTTTTTTACCCATTCTGGATTATATGCAGAAATATTAAATAAAAAAATTTAATTAAATTAAATTTGTGTTCTGTATTTATATAATTAAGTTAAAAGTGAAATGTACAATTTTTAACGCTATTTCCTGTTTACAAATGTGCCTCAATAAAGATATATGTTATGTTAAGCTTTAATCTATGGAGAGCTTGTTGCCAAAACTATCAAAGTCTTGCAGGAATTATTATTTTTTAATTAATTTAAATTAATATGAAATAAAAAATTAAAATAATAAAATATATTTACACAAAAAATAAAAATAAAAATAAAATCTTTAAACAAAATAATAAAATTGAATTCTTCATAAAAACTTTTTCTTTAATAAAAGTAATATTTTGCTGATCTTGGATTATGCATTTTGAAATTGTCACCATGTTTTGATGCATTGAATATTACATTTAGAAACAGTAATGATTTAATACAAAATAAAAATATAAATTAAAAAAAATAATAAAATAAAAGTCTTAATAATATATTTATATTATGAAGTTTAATTGAATCTGAATGAATTGAATTATGTAGTTTTAAGCCTCGGATTTGATAACAGATGGTGCAACCAAATAAAATACTGAGATAGTTACTAACTAACTCGTTACTAACTAGGCGCCAGTATGAATTGACATGACTTTATGAGCAGCTCATGCAGCCCAACCCTCCTCATCCTTCTTCTTCATTTCCTGTTAATCTGTGAAACCGTCCTCTTCCTCTCTCTCTATTGTTCTTCTTCTCTTTCCCTGCATCCTTTCACTGTGTTTTTCTCTCGTTTCTCAGGAGTTCTCCTCCGGCGGCTCCAGTAACACAGACACCGGAAAGGCGGCTGGAAACCTGGAGACCAAGTACAAAGTGAAGGATCTGGGCTTGACTTTGAACCAGAAGTGGAACACAGATAATGTTCTGACCACTGAAGTGACTCTGGAAGATCAGGTGAGTCCAGGTCACCAATCCTAACATTATGCCTAAAGTGTTTAAATGGTTAAATAATAGGGGTGGGACAATATATCGATATGTCGATATATCGTTGTCCTTCTCCATGCGATACAAGAATCGATATCTGGGGCCAAATATCGATATTTTACTACAATACAATACTACAATATATTACTACAATAAGGCGCTCTATATACATTTCCCTGCTCCCAGCATCTAAAAAATGCGTGGAAATCGCGGCCCGCCATTTCCACTCGATATCTGGCGCCAAATATCGATATTTTAATTATTACAATAAGGCGCTCTATATAGATTTCCCTGCTCCCAGCATCTAACAAATGCATGGAAATCGCGGCCGCGCCATTTCCACCTTCTTTCCAAAGCGCTCTGAGCAACCATGAACTGCGTTCTCTATGAAGATGGGGAAGCACGAGGAACCGAAGGATAAACAGATTTCCAGCCACTGTATTAGCTCTACTGCTATATATATGTTTATGGAGATGAGAACTCAGCGTGGACTGTAGGCATCGATCACGTTATCATTGCAGAGCGCATATTGAGTCCGTGAGTAGCCTAGCCTCTCCGCTCGGATCGCAGGTGGATCTACCTCACTAAATGCGTGAGAGAGAGCGGCGCCGGCGCGTCCAGTTTTATGTCAACAAAACTGGATTCTCTCCCTCTCTCTCAGATATTGCAAGTGCGCGTTATGCAGTAGGCAGTGGGCACCGACCGGCAGAAACATAAATCTGCACCTATGGCAAATGTGTTGGTTTACACACAAAGAAAAGTGTAAGCTTTTAGTAAGTCCAAGAATAAAACGATTAATTTCCTTAGCATGTTAAATTTGATTTACAGAACATTTGTGCTGTTTTCTAACAGTTTGGACTTGAATAAAGAGAGAAAACTTGCACTTAACCTTTTCACAGACATTTTGTTTTCATAGTTAGACAGATATCGTGATGCATCATTATAGAATTGTCTAGCAATATATCGATTATCGCAGAATCGCTGTATCGTGATATTACCGTGAGCCATGTATCGTGATTCGTATCATATCGTGAGGTACCCTGCGATTCCCACCCCTATTAAATAATGCACTGTTTTGTCTTGTTTCTGTGTAGCTGGCCAAAGGTCTAAAGCTGGGACTGGACACTTCATTTGTGCCCAACACTGGGTATGTGAACACTTTAATTGGACAAAAGATTAAGTTTTATTATTAAAAAGTCACTTTAATAAAAAAGTAACTTTTTTGGATTTTGCATTTTGAAATGTGACAATTGTGAATTGTCGTCATGTTTTGCTGTATTGAATATTAAATTAAGATCATGAACATGGATGATATTATTCTTTATTTAAAAAATTATATTTAAAAATAAAATATTTTAATAAAAATAAAACAATACAAATCTTAATAAAATTGAAAAATAATAAAATACATGTCTTAATAAAAAAGTTACTTTTTCTTTAATAAAGTAATATTTTGTTAATCTTGGATTATGTATTTTGAAATGTGACAATTGTGAATTGTCGCCATGTTTTTCTGTATTGAATATTAAATTAAGATAATGAACATGGATGATATTATTATTTAATTAAAATTATTATTTAAAAGAATAAAATACATTAATAAAAATAAAACAATACAAATCTTAATAAAATAAAAAAATAATAAAATAAATGTCTTAATAAAAAATAAGTAACTTTTTCTTTAATAAAAGTTATATTTTGTTGATTTGGATGATGTATTTTGAAATGTGACTTGTCACCATGTTTTGCTGTATTTGTCAGGATTCTGGACTGTTCTGTGTCGTGTTTTGCCCGTTTCTGGTCCTGTGTTTCCTTATTTGGTCCTTCCTGTTTCCATTAGGTTCCCTGATTAGTTCATCATTTGTTTCCAGCTGTGTTTAGTTAATTATCCTCATTTCCCTGTGTACTTAAGTCCTAGTCTGTTCAGTTTGTGTTTGTCAGGTCTGCTCGTTCTCTATGTGTGTTGGCTCAAGCAGCCGGACCGACGATTCACGCCGCAGCTGTTCTGGGTTATGAGGGCTGGCTGGCTGGGTATCAGATGGCCTTCGACACGGCCAAGTCCAAACTGGCCCAGAACAACTTCGCTTTGGGCTACAAGACAGGAGACTTCCAGCTACACACCAATGTGTGAGGAAACACTCGAGCAACATTCACATTAAAAATATTTTCATTTCAGTTAACATTTCAAGTATCAATTTTTTTTATGGTTTTAGTTAACGATAATAATGCTGGCTCATAGTGCTAATGAGATGTGATTAACAGTATGTACACTACCAGTCCAAAGTTTTTGAACGGCAAGATTTTTTATGTTTTTTAAAGAAGTCTTTTCTGCTCACCTAGCCTGCATTTATTTGATTCAAAGTACAGTCAAATTCTGAAATATGTTATCTAGTCAAAATAACTGTTTTCTATTTGAATATATTTTAAAATGTAATTTATTCCTGTGATTTCAAAGCTGAATTTTTAGCATCATTACTGCAGTCACATGATCCTTCAGAAATCATTCTAATATTCTTATTTGCTGCTCAAAAACATTTATTATTATTATTATGTTGAAAACCGCTGAGTAGAATTTTTTCAGGTTTCTTTGATTAGAAAGTTCAGAAGAGCAGCATTTACCTGAAATAGAAATATTTTGTAACATTATAAATGTCTTTATCATCACTTTTGATCAATTTGTGTTTCCTTATTTGGTCCTTCCTGTTTCCATTAGGTTCCCTGATTAGTTCATCATTTGTTTCCAGCTGTGTTTAGTTAATTATCCTCATTTCCCTGTGTACTTAAGTCCTAGTCTGTTCAGTTTGTGTTTGTCAGGTCTGCTCGTTCTCTATGTGTGTTGGCTCAAGCACCTATTGTGGATTATCTCCTGAGTTTCCTTTATTAAAGACAGTTCTCGTTTACTCGTGCTTCCTCAACAGCGTAACGTGACAGTATTGAATATTAAAATAGAATAAAGAATATGAATTATATTATTTTTAGTTAATGAAAAATATACAATAAAAAGATATATTAATAAAATTAAAACACAATAATTATCTTAATAAAATTAAAGATTTTAATAATATAAAATAAAAGTCTTAAAGGTGCCATAGAATGGAAAACTGTGTTTACCTTGGCATAGTTGAATAATAACGGTTCTGTACATGGAAATGACATACCGTGAGCCTCAAACACCATTGTTTCCTCCTTATGTAAATCTCGTGCATGCAAAAGACCACTGAAAAATAGGCGAATCAGAACATAACACCGACTGTGACGTTACAGTCGGGATCACTAATAGTTACGCCCCCAACATTTGCATATACCCGCCCATGTTCTAGACTTGCACAGCCAAATCATCAGAAGTTCTGCAAGTATTGTGAAGAAACAAGTGAGGACAACAGCGAAAATGGCAGATCATGGAAATAAATGTTATGTTCCAGGCTGTGCAGGGATGGGTTGGTGTCTGTATTCAGAAAGGCACGGAAAACAAATAACGATTCTAGGGACAAATCCTAGGGTTGTAAATGGACATGTAAAACCGTTTCTCTTTTTTGCCCTTACCTAAGCCACATACCTTCTATGTAGATATCAGAGAACAATTTAAAATATTGTATCAATGCATTCTATGGCACCTTTAAAGTGTGTGTGTGTGTGTGTATATATATATATATATATGAAAATCAATAAAAAAATTCTGTCATTTTCTATTGTCAGTTAAACCTATTCAGTAACTGCACTTTCATCCTCTCTCTGCTATCTTCTTCAGGAAGAAGAGCGGTAAGCTGAAGACGGGCTATAAGCGTGATTACATGAATGTGGGCTGTGATATAGATTTCGACCTGGCCGGACCGACGATTCACGCCGCAGCCGTTCTGGGTTATGAGGGCTGGCTGGCTGGGTATCAGATGGCCTTCGACACGGCCAAGTCCAAACTGGCCCAGAACAACTTCGCTTTGGGCTACAAGACAGGAGACTTCCAGCTACACACCAATGTGTGAGGAAACACTCGATCCAAGCTTTTGAATGGTATAGTGTATAATGTTACAAATGCTTTTTTTTTTTTCAGATAAATGTTGATCTTCGGATCTTTCTATTCATCAAAGAATCCTGAAAATGTACTCAACTGTTTTCAACATTGATAATAATCAGAAATGTTTCTCGAGCAGCAAATCAGCATATTAGAATGATTTCTGAAGATCATGTGACACTGAAGACTGGAGTAATGATGCTGAAAATTCAGCTTTGCATCACAGGAATAAATTACATTTTAAAATATATTCAAACAGAAAACAATTATTTTAACTAGTAAAAATATTTCACAATATTACTGCTTTTGCTGTACTTTGGATCAAATAAATGCAGGCTTGGTGAGCAGAAGAGACTTCTTTAAAAAACATTAAAAATCTAACTGTTCAGAAGCTTTTGACTGCTAGTGTAGTGTTCTGAAGTTAATGGTGTTGTTTGCTGCAGTAATGATGGCACAGAGTTCGGCGGCTCCATCTATCAGAAGGTGAACGGTCAGTTGGAGACGGCGGTCAATCTGGCCTGGACCGCAGGCAGTAACAACACACGCTTTGGCATCGCTGCTAAATACCAGCTAGATAAAGACTCCTCCATCTCTGTGAGCACAAACCATAATCCTATAACAGCTGACCAGTGTCACTGACTGTAGATGATAACCCTGTGTCTCTGTTCAGGCCAAAGTCAACAACGCTAGTCTGGTTGGAGTAGGATACACACAGAGCCTCCGGCCAGGTGAACAAACACCTTCATGTCATTAATAATCAGACATTCATTCTTTAACGAGAGGAGTAAAGTTTTTTGGCTTGAAAAGCTTGAAGTTTGAAGATTTTACTCAAAAGCCAGTAAAATTTTATTAACATGTTCTAACACATTGATAAAAAACAAGTTGTTAACATGATTTAGCATGTTGCTAGAATGATCTAGCACATTGTTTGCATATGTTAGCACATTGCTAACATGTTAACATGTTGCAAGCATGATTGAGCATGTTGCTAACATGTTGTTAACATGTTTTAGCATGTTTCTAACATTTTTCAACATGTTTTACCTGTTTTAGCATGTTGCTAACCTGCTTTATCATGTTGCTTAGTATGTTTTAACATGTTGTTAACAATATTTAACACATTGCTAGCATGTTGCTAGTATGTTTTAACATGTTGCTAGCATGATTTAACATGTTTTAACATTTTTTCACATGTTGTTTACCTGTTTAGCATGTTGCTAACCTGCTTTATCATGTTGCTAGCATGTTTTTGCATGTTATTAGCAATTGGACATGTTGAAAGCATGTTGCTTAGTATGTGTTAGGAATTTGCTAGCAATATTGAACACATTGTAGCACGTTTTACCATGTGGCTAGTATGTTTTAGCATGTTGCTAACCTGTTTTAACATGTATTTAGCAATATTTTACACGTTGCTAGCATGTTTTAACGTCGATAACCTGTTTTAGCATGTTGCTAACTTGTTTTAGCATATTGTTATCAAAACATAACACGATAGCATGTTATTATGTTGCTAGTATGTTTTAGCATGTTGCTAGCAATATTTAACAAGTTGCTAGCATGTTTTAACATGCCACTAACCTGTTTTAGCATGTTTTAACATGTTAACAATATTTAACATGTTGATAGCATGTTAGCTTGTTGCTTAGTATGTTTTAGCATTTTGCTAGCAATATTTAACACGTTTGCTAACACGTTGAACATGTTGTTAACCTGTTTTAGCATTTTAGTAACATTTTACACATTGATAGCATGTTGTTAGTATGTTTTAACATATTCCTAGAATGTTTTAGCGTGTTGCTAGCAATATTTAACACGTTGCTAGCATGTTTTAACATGTCGATAACCTGTTTTAGCATGTTCCTAGTATGTTTAGCGTGTTGCTAGCAATATTTAACACATTGCTAGCATGTTTTAACGTGCTCCTCACCTGTTTTAGCATGTTGCTAGTATATTTTAGCATGTATAGCATGTTATGCTAGGGTATCTGGAAACCTTTGTTAGTGATAGACAGCTCAAATCCTCTGTGTTATTCTTACTCTGTATGTGATACAAAGGTTTTGACCCGCTCAATGAAAGCTTGTGGGATTTTTCATGGTTTTGATCGTCTAGTTCATGAAAGCCGAACAGTCTGAAGGTCTGAGTCGAGTCTGGTGGCTGTAGCTCGAACACTCTAGGAGGAGATACAGAAGAAGAAGAAGGATTTCAGTATGTCGTGTCAAGCCAACATAAGAAGTACTAGTGAAGCATAATAAATGCTGTATCTTCCGCAGGTGTGAAACTCACTCTGTCCGCTCTGATCGACGGTAAGAACTTCAACGCCGGAGGACATAAGGTGGGCATGGGCTTCGAGCTGGAGGTGTAACGACACAGAGACGCACTGATGGGAAGTAAAGAAACACAAGGTAGCTGACGGCACGACTTCAGCCCCTGCAGAAACACGTCACCCTTTCCCCCCGTAATTCCTCCTAAACTAATCTGGCCTTAAAACCCCTGTAGAACCAATAAGAAACAGGATCAGCAGTCCACACCAATCCTCCATCACCAGCTCACTATTTGACAACAGCTTCCTCTTGGTCAACATATCATAGCGCTTTTAATGTTACACACGTGGCACCATATCATTTCTTTTATTTTTATTTTTTTAACTAGATAAATATTGAGTTTCTGGTTTCTGAGCAGTCACGCAGGATCTGATGTGTACGTTGTGCTTTTAGTTCATGGGTTTAATGATAAATCAGAAAGGCATCTCTAAATGTCAAGCCCCTCACTTTTGCCCACATTCATTGCCAAATGCGCAATATTTTATCACAGGTTTGTTGTCTGTGTTTGTGGGCTGGAGTTTTTAGAGGACGGTCCATGAGTTTTTTGTTTTTATCCCCATTAAAAAGTGATTTATGTTGAAAGCAGAGGACTAGAAGAAGAAACTGATGTTGTGGAACGCAATAAAGAGGAATGTTGACTGAATAAAACCTCGTTTCATTTGCTTTTTAGAAAGCGAACACTGTTCATGTATTAAAAAATTCAAATGTTCAACATTAAATGAAATTACACTAGAAAAAAAAAAACGTAAGCAAAATACCTCATCTTTTTTATTTTAGTTTTTTGTGTATAAAAAAATCATGTACACCAGTGCTTTATAGTTAACTAAAACCTTTTTAAAAAAAAGGTTAAACATTAAATAACAAAAACTGGAAGGGGGAAAAATTTCTTAAAAATATACATATTAAACAAAATGACAAAAACACCAAAAATTACTAAAAAAAATGTCTCGGCTTATTTTCATAACTTTAGATATATTTCAGAAGTTTAAGTACTAAAAATGTTTACATTTAATGAAATTGCACTAGACAACATGTACAGACAAAATACTTGTATAAAACGTTTTATTTATTTTTTTGTGTGTGTAGAAAAAACCCTGTACACCAGTGCTATTATAGTTAACTAAAACTAAACCATGAAATAACACGCGCTAAAGAGACTAAAACTGAAAAAAAGAATAGAAAATATACCAAATATATACAAAGTAAAATTAACATGCAAACAAAATATAAAATAAAAACGAATTCAAAATATTCATAAAAACGCTATCTCAGTGATACTAAAAGTTATGCACTGCTGTATGTCAAAAAAGTTTTTTTCTCAGCATATAAAAATAATTTTCATAACTTTAGATATATTTAAGAAGTTTAAGCACTAAAAAGCTAATTTATTTGACATTTAATGAAATTGCACTAGAAAACATGAACACACAAAATACTTGGATACATTTGATTAATTTTTATTTAAAATATTTGTGTGTAAAAAAAAAACTTTTCTGTGTACCAAAGAAAAAAATGCTATTTTTTCTCAGCATATAAAAATAATTTCCCTTAATGAAACTACTTTACATAAGTTCACATGCTCATGTGTGTGATCTAGACAGGTTTCCTTTTTGTCATGAAATCTTCATAGCATCATAAAGGATGAAAACAACAACAAATGTCCACATTTATACACTGACACCTACTGAGTGATCAGACACTTGGTCTGTCTAGTCACAGTGAGGTAATAAGGAATTAGGATGGATTTATATTTTCATTTATTCAATAAGCAGATGCTTTTATCCAAAGCGACTTACAAATGAGGTACAGCACAAGCTATTTGTCATGGAGCCAACAACATATATACTACACTATTACATGTGCACAAAATGTGAATTTGCATAGAAAACATCAGAAAGGCTGGAAAACGGTCAAGTATTCTGATGCAAGAATTCTTAACATTAACATAAATGATTAAAAAACTATATTTAAGGGTTTATAACCTCTTAAAAGTAAGAAATGCATTGAGTAAATGACTGGAGTGTGATTTCACAGGAATGGAGTGTGATTTCACAGGAATGAATTGTCAGCACACACTGCCTGCAGTATGGTGTTTCCGCCAGCTGCTGGCAGAACAGCTTCATGTTTGTTCGCTTTTTGACAAACACTCACTGGTAACCTGTGTATCCTCAGGATCAAGCCAAATCCTGCCCCCCGTTCAACCACTTCCACTCTCTCAGTATCTGAAAGAGAAAGAGATAAATGTCAGTGATGAATATAATCTCTGATCTGTGCGTTTTATGGACATGTTTCCTGTGGCTGGATTCAGGAAACATTCTTAAAGGAACAGTTCACTCATAAAATGAACATTTGTTGAGAATGTCCTCACACCTTCAGGTCATCCAAGATGCAGATGAGTTTGTTTCTTCATCAGATTTGGGGAAATGTAGCATTCTATCACTTGTTCAGCAATGGATGCTCTGCAGTGAATGGGTGCCGTCAGAATGAGAGTCCAAACAGCTGATAAAAACATCACAATAATCCACAAGTAACACTCCAGTCCATCAGTTAACATCTGGAGAAGACAAAAGCTGCTTGTTTGTAAGAAACAAATCCATTATTATTAAGACATTTTTAACTTACTGACTAAAACATAAGTCCATAATCCACAATAACGCTTTCTCCAGTGAAAAAGTCATCTCATCTGAATCAGGAGAGAAATCTGCACAGATCAAGCACCGTTTACAAGCCAAAACAGTTCTAAATAGCTTAAAACAAATATGTAGGTGGATTCTGTTGTGAGAGGACAACAGGAGATGGACTTTTTCACTGGAGGAAGCGTTATTATGGATTATGGACTTATGTTTTAGTCAGAAGCAACGGTTTGAAGTTAAAAATGTCTTAATGATGGATTTGTTTCAGCTTTTGTCTTCTCCAGATGTTAACTGATGGACTGGAGTGGTGTGGATTATTGTGATGTTTTTATCAGCTGTTTGGACTCTCAATCTGACGGCACCCATTCACTGCAGAGCATCCATTGCTGAGACACTGATGCAATGCTACATTTCTCCAAACCTGATGAAGAAACAAACTCATCCTAATCTTGGATGGCCTGAGGGTGAGCACATTTTTTAGCAAATTTCATTTTTGCTGAATTTGAAATTCAGTAACAACTCTACAAATACGAGTCAAATAGCTATATTTCTCAAACGAATTACCTGCATGCTGGTCTCTGTTTCCTCAATGGTGTCTTGCACTAAACTCTGCAGGCGGCTCTCAAACATCTTGCTCTCCTCAATCACAAGCAGAGACTCGTCTCTGAACACACACACACGAGAGAGCAACACTCATGATGGAAACATGCAAATGAATGCAAAGTGTCTCATGCACTGAAGCTGGACTCACGCCTGCGGTACGTCGGACGGTCTGTGGGACATCAGCGGGTGTGCAGGGGCCGGCGGGGTTCGTCCTCCGTCTGGACTGCCGCTCACTGGACTACGAACCTTACTCTAAAACACACACACGCTCAAGTCAAGCACACGGCATCGTGCATGTGCGCGCATGCATACTGTAGAAGGAGTATGAATAGTATGCATACACAGGCCACTTTGAGCAGGTTCCACAGCTCCTTCTGTCTCTTCTCCTGCAGGTGCTGCAGCTGTTTCTCGCTGCGGGCCATCGCACTCACCATCCCCTCCACACGCGGCAGCAGCTCCAGAACTCTCTGACGGCACACCATCGTCTTACTGCACACACACACACACACACATGCACATTAGAATTGAACTCCATTTTAGACATTTAAAATTATTATTATGATCACTGAACTGGTCATTCTTTGACAGTATATAGGATAGAGCAAAGGAAATACAAAGAAAACACAAAAACATGTTGAAATGATCAAGTTAAAGGTACAAATTCCATACTAATTCGTTTATTTTCAATGCAAATGAATACAGTGCAATTCAGTGCAAATTTCAATACAAAATAAAAAGTTATATATATATATAAAAAAAAAAAAATCGGTTTCAAACCTCAGCTGCCTGCTTATAAGTGTTGTCACAATATACCAGTAATATTTCACAGTTCTCAGCACCTTATTATTATTACCTGGAAGAAATGATATGGGGTTTAAAAACAGGCAGATAAAAGGATTATGTATGGTAAAAAACGTATATAAAGGAGATACACTGATGACCTTCCAGCAGTTGGTTACAAAATATAATATTCCACAAAAACACTTTTTTAAATACCTTCAAATTAGAAGTTATATATATATTCGAGAATTAAAACCTATTCGGAAACCCAACATTCTACTTTAGATTATCTTTATTTCTATTCCATTTTTGTATTTGTATGTATTACTTTATTTTATAATGTATTATTATTTTAAATGATTTTTTTTTTTGGATAAATGTAGGGGTGGGAAAGTATACTCTGTAATGTTATATAATTTGATATGCTGTAGTGTTCATGGGGGTTTTGTAAAAAAATTAATAAAAAACAAAGTTGAAAAAAAAGAAGGAAGCTTCCTACACTCTAAAAAATGCTGGGTTGTTTCAACCCAACTTTGGGTCAAATATGGACTAACCCAACCGTTGGGTTAAATTTTGACATTACATTTTTAACCCAAAAGTTGGGTTAGTCCAAATTTGACCCAAAGTTGGGTTGAAACAACCCAGCATTTTTTAGTGTGTATGTAGACAGCGAGGTTTAAAACAGAGCGTATATATATAACACCCGGATGTTGTGCCTGCAGAGAAGTTTTTAATGAAATCTGATGAGAAACCACACAGAAGCCGACCTCAGGTGTGTGTAAAAGTCCCGTAACTTCCTCTCGTAGAACTGCACGGCCTGAACCACAAGTTTGATCACTTCTTGACAGTCGCCCATACTGCGCTGCTCTGGAGACACAAAGAGATTTCCAGATCACGTGATGGATCGGCTCGTCCTGAGGAAGAGGAGAACGTGTGTCTTACCTCTGGGTTTCTCTCTCAGTTTACGGAAGAGCTCCATGGCCTTCACCTCGCTGCAAAACACAACACAGGTGAGTGAGAGAGCGCGTGCAGGTCATTCAGAGAGTCTAAGCCAGGTTTTTGAGTTGTGACACTTTGTTTGTGAGGTTCATCATGACACTGAATCTTGAGTTTAATTTAAATCCTACGGTATCATATTTGATAGGCCTCTAAATGATAAATATGATCAAAACTTTGTTGAAATTGGAAAAACTGGTCACACACAGTCTACTCCATGCCTTCTGTCATCTGATTAATAGTTTAGACTTTTTTTTATCAAGTTAAAGCTATTTTAATATAACTGTCCAAACGTCCACCTTCAGCTCGTGCTTCACGTGTCTTTTTGCTGTGAAATATTTACTGATTATTATAAAGTAAACTTAAAGGCTTGTGCACACCGGGACGATTATCGCGCGCGATTATCGCCGACGTTTAACGCCTCGTGACTAAACAAAGATCGCCAATGTGAAGCCCCGTTCACACCGCCAGCGACACACAGCGACAGAGCGACATAATCCCATTCATTTTCAATGGAGAGCTGGCGACTTCCGGCGACACGAGCGACAGTGACCGTTAGCGACGAAATGTGGGCGTGTCAAGCGATGCGAGTCAAGCGACAAAAGTTCAGAATTCTTCAACTTTATGCAAATAAGCAGCGAATTTCGCGAGCGACAACCAATGGGAGTGAAGTCAGTGGAGAGCAGGTGCTTCCTCTGCTGTAGTGGAGTGTTACGGGGTAACTAGGCAACCAGTAGTGGGAACGCCCACTAGCGACCTCAATTGCCAGCCACAAGCGACAAGCAGCGAAAAAGTCGCTGGCGGTGTGAACGGGGCTTGAGTGTGCACACCGATGCGCAAAACGCCAGGCGTAAACGTAATTTTTTTTAAAACGCCTCGTGCTCGTTTTTTTTGGTTTTACCATTTGACGCGCCGCGTTAAAAACTGGCCGACCAATGAGATTGGCGCTTTTGTTCACGTGCCTGGAGCTGCTGAAGTTACAGTAAAACACGACTTGGTGGCGCTCAAGCACAAAACGGTCTTGCCGAGCACACATTGATACCTAACGACGAAGAGGAAGTAAGTAGACGAAGAAGATGCATCGAGGCAAGATGAATGTAGAGCTGCTGGTCTCATTGGTGTCTGAACACAAAGGGCTTTATGACAAACGCGACAGCGACTACAAAAATCTCGATAAGAGGGAGTTGTTATAGAGAGGAATTGCAGATCAAATAGGATTCGATGTGTACCGGGGTATTTCTGTTTTTCATTAAGCGCCATCTAATGTCAGGGAGTGAATTTGCACGTTCACTCGGCTCATCGCCAGCGAAAATCGCTTGGGTATGAACACAAAGACGTGTCGAAAAACGCTGGCGATAAGCACGCGCGATAATCGTCCCGGTGTGTACAAGGCTTTTGAATAACTTTGATATTGTTAGTAATATTTTAAGATGAACACTTACTGGACTGGAGCAACTTAGGTTCACTTTATTATTCATACATAATTTTTTAGAAAAATCATATTGAATGACTGATATTTATATTTTATGTCAGTATCCGCTGTACTGTTATAAAGATCTCATTGATTTACATTACGATCAGAATTTCATCTTACTTTTTTTTAAACATCAGCATTTGCACCAAATTGCATGTTTTTTGCTAATTTTGGGTCTCTGAATAAAGCTGAGCAGTTTTTTTCCTCCATATTCTCACAATATCACATTATGTGAGCCATAAAAGCATGATCTATAAAATATAAAACTATATTACTGTATCATACTCCGTGGGCCATAAAAGTTTTTTTATCAAATATGAAATAAATATTGTATTTAATATTTCAGATTTTTATTTTAAACACCCCTGCAAATGTATGAAATATAAATAATTTAACAAATATATTAATATCAATACTAATATTATTAATGTTTATTATCGTTTATGACTCATCATTTCAACTAAAATATATTGACCACCTCACACCAGTCATCGGTGTGACTACATGACACTAGCATGAGTGTGTGCGTGTGTGTGTGTGTGTGTGTGTGTGTGAGTGTGTGCGTGTGTGTGTGTGTGTGTGTGTGTG